TTGTACCTAATTATAAGTTTTCCGTCGTTTTTGTTCACTACTCGTCTTTAGTTGTATATTGTAGTGGCAGTGCACTACACAGGGCCTGCAGTACCTAGAGGGTTATGAAATCCCATCACCCCATCGTGTGAGGGGACTTGGATCCCTTCTACGCCTCACAATTGTTTTTTTAATGCGTTTGCGTTGTCGTTGGGGGCACACGACGCAGAGCTGCTGGACGGGACTAGTGCTTCTACTGACGTGAGTGGGATCAGGTTCCGAGGGCCACATGATCCCTAAGGCCCCGAACTCCCCTTAGACTGGCGTTTCTGAAGGGGAGTTTTTCACAGCGCAAGTGGCATTTTTGCTTTTTTTATGCTAAGGCACTCCATCATGCCAACGAGTTCCACTCTTTCTATCCGTAGCCCAGCCGGTTACTGAATTCCTCTCTGCTCAGGACAGCCTTGCTATACACCAGCAGCTCCGGATTCACCGTAGGGCTTCGGTTCACCAAGGATTGATATGCCAGAACGCCTGCTTGGACCTGATGCGCTCCGGAAAGGTAGAGCCTTTGCTTAATGTAACCACCACCACCGTGCATCACCACCCAATAAGGAGGAAGCCTGAAGTGATTGGAATTCTCCCGAGGCATTTTGTAGGCAAAGGTTTAAGTCTAGGGAAATAAGGAACACCTCCACGGCCTCCTTGTCCCGGCGCCATCATATCGCGTAGGGCTCCACAGCTGGAGGCGTTCCTCCTGAATTGGTTTTGGCTACAACGCACATTCCCCTAGATGGGTCGCCGAAATAGAGCCGGCTTCTGCTTGGTGAGGCCTCAGACCGTGCGTCGACCGACCTTCCCCCGGTGAGCGGATCATAGTCAACCTCAAATTTGCTGAAAGGAAACAGCTGAAACTGGAAAAGATCTTGTTTAAGAAGAGGGAACGGGTTTTATTTTATTTTATTTTCTCTTCAGCAATGCTTGAGGCTACCCATGTGGGGATTGGAATCCGTGCGCGCACCTGCCCCGATGAACCATGCGGTGCTGCCAAGTATAACGGTTGATCTCTGGCCTTAAACAAGGACAGAAGTGAGCTGCAATGTATGTAAATATTCAAAGTAAGCATTTCACCGAAGCCTCTGACCTCCTTTGCCTGTCTTCAGGCCTCCTGGGCGTTGAGCGCAGGGCCTGGGTGTTGCGGGGAGTATGCAGCTCAAAATCGGGTTGAACCGCACCTCTCTGCGGCTGGTGATGCAGGCGAGCCTCACACGTGCGCACGAGGGAGTTTCAACGAAACTTCCTTTATTGCATGCTTTACCTCTACACTTACAGAACGTTTGCATTTGCTTACACGCGACCTACCAATGCCAAGTGAAGGCTCCTGCGCTGACTGTAGGCAGACCATGTTACAGGAACAAACCCTACGTGGGCGACACAAGTAAGGGAAGACAGGCCACAATAATTAACGACGAAGACCCTATTTACTCCAACAAATTAAAATAAATTCACAAAAAATGACAGAAATTCTTGAGTGTACTTGCGGTTTGGCTGCGTAGATATTATCTCCTAGCAGCTGGCGGTTACTTTAGAGCCGACGAGCTGTAGTGCGGGTGCACTACAATAGGGAATTTCTATCATATCAGTTAGTATTTTCATATCTCTTCTTAGATGATAATTCGCACTTCCCTATTAGGAACACGCTTACGTCACTTGTAAGCTTGTCATTTGGATTATTCACACAGTAACTCACACAGTTGTACGCAACCTGGAGGCCTGCCTGGGCGACAGCGCAGCAGACTGAGTGCGGCGGGCCAAGACGCTGCTGGAGCTGACCCGGGGGGTCCCGAAGGGACGCTGTAGTGCATTGGCACTACAATGCACCGTTGTAGATAACTAGTGGACGATATGAGACTAAAAATGTGTAATACTTAATTAATTTAACTAGTAAAATTTAGGTTAGCAGGCCAAATCGCTGGGTCACGGTAGTAACCGAGGATAGCCGACACCTCGTTAGAGGCAGAGGCATAGTCACCGCGGAAACGCGGGTCGGCCGTACCCTCGCGGATCTAGCGACCGGCCTGGCGGATCGCCAAGCTGGGGCGCAGGGATCGGACTGAAATCGAACAGACAGAACTACTTTGCTCTAATATTTGTCCGTGTAACTACCTGTTTTACTTATAGAACGGCCTTTTCCGCAGAGCCCGCCCGTGAAGTTACGTTCTCCCGCAATCCTGCGGACTTTGTGCGAGGGGCTAGACGCCGCCAGGCATTACAGGCGCAACCGATATCAGCTCCAACTCAGCACCAGATTATTATTCTAGTATTTTCAAGGATTCCACGTGTCTGTGCGAATACGTTTTTGTGTACCATCCCCCACCCTTTCGTTATGCTCCCCATCTCTCTACCTTTTATCTTAATATTATATTCTATCATTATCTCCGTCAGGCATACTTAGGTCTTACACGGGCGATGGCTGTTGTGTTTGTGCTCTAAGTATCTACTCCCTCGTAAAAAAGATATCGATTTAAAACGTTTACCTCTGTTATTTCAGACAAATTTTGATTCAACTTTTCAGAAAGAAGTATTTACTACGCCTTTCAATTTTTACTGTACTAAACCCCAGCGCACTACACCAGTATTCCCGCGGGGGGAGAGGGGGGGTCGTAGAGAGAAGGACATCTTCAGTTAGCTTTGGATTACAGGTAGTATATTTTGGTTTATTTTCATTGCAGTGTACGTACACTGCATTGTTTGTTAAACTTTTTTCACTGACACACCGCAGCGGCAGCGGCGGGGCTGCAGCGAGCTCGAGGCATCGAGCGGGCTGCGAGTCGCCGCTTGTTTGCTCTGCATTCGTTCAGGTTCAAGCCCCACCAAGGTACTAGGAAAAAGGAAAACCTGTATATCTATATACTCTTTTTAATGCGTGTGTAACTGATTGAAGCTGGGGGTAGTACACCCGCCATCCGCAGGGTGTAGTATGCGAGAGGTGACCTCATCGAGTGTATAGGCAGCGTTGCCTCTGGCCAGTGTTTCCGTGTCCTGTGTATACTTGATTGGTGTGTCAGCTCCCAGCATGATGGGGGGCGATCCCGGCCACGATCCCGGCCCCAGCCGGTGTACACAATTGCTGCCGTATGAGCTAACGAGCTTACCCATGCGCTCTGCTGGGGAGCTGCAAAGGATCCAGCGGCTGTCACCGCTACAGAGAGGAGATCTCGATCTCCTCCCGATGGAGATGACCACGTC